TGTATTAAATGCATGCATCCATATTTCTTTGCTTTCGTTTAAACAAAAGTTATTTGGTATGAAGAGAAGAGGAATAAGCTGAGATTTAGTGATAGAAAGTGGACGACACAGCAAGAAGGGAACCCGCCCTTCACGAAGTCCAGAATTTTTATCGTGTGTATGCATCCATATTTCTTTGCTTTCATTTAAACAAAAGTTATTCGGTATGAAGAGAAGAGGAATAAGCTGAGATTTAGTGAGAGATAGAAAGTGGTACAATTTGAGTAATGCTAAGTTACAAAGAAAGTCCTAATGCACAATGGTCAGAAGGATCACCATAGATCACGGATAAATCAGGGTCACCGTTCGCGCTTTGGAAGTTGGGAGCCAACCATGTTGAGTAACACGACATAGTATGAGCTCATCTTTATACACTCTGAGAGAGAGATAGGGTGTCCAATAATTTCAGATGCCACCAAAACTGCAATAGAAGTTAAAAATCCACATATACGGAGAATGATCCCGGCAAACCAGGTTCACCTTTTAAAGATCTGACTGGACTACATTGAGGTACGCTTCGTTGTAAGCCTGACTTGGGTCCAAATTTAACTTGACTTCGTTTTCGATTTGTCGGAATATAGGTGTTTCGGGTGTGTTTACTGTTTCGGATAGCAGTTGATCTTTTCGCCGAGCGTGGCAATAGGCTTGCAAACGTTTCCTTCCCAGTCACGGAGACATCGTCAGTGCGCAGTTGAATGGATGCTTCCACAAAATCACGGTCGGTCCTACCATGATGCAACAGAAGGCATATACCAACTAGCCGGTCGCATGACAAGATATTAGATACTCTACAAAAAACTACATAAACGCAGCTAGGCACGGGAGACACACCGATGTTTCCTCGACTGGGGACGAAACGTTTGCAAGCCAATTGCCACGCTCGGCGAACAGATCAACTGCCATCCGATCAGCCACCAGTTGACTTCGTTTTGTTTGCCGATCGATATCCTTGGAGCTGCAGAAAGGGATACATTTACTACGGCTTTTTTTATCTTCTTTACTTTACTTCTTGGAGAAAGAACAATGCAATGAACCAAATTTGGTTAGGTTTGGATACCACAGTTCTTCTCAATAAAAATTTCAGTCTTTTCAACGTATTTCCACAACAAATTCGTCCAGTATTGAAAAATGGCGAGACATTGTCAGTTGAGATGAGGTTCATAGTGTAGCTTTGGTTGCACAAGGGCTTCCGAAGTAATTTATTTGACAATGTGATTCTAATCACGGGACAGTTCCGTGGATGTGTAAATATCTGCCAGGTAAGTTTTGCTACATTTAAAAAAATAATCTGGTTCATTTCTTTAAAACGTGAAAACAGTCATCATCATCATCATTCTCCTCAAAGACAGTAACATCAGAGTTGGTACTGGTGCTTTACCGCCGTACAACCATAAGTTTCGTCATGTTATATATATATATATATATAGTTATAATAAAGGCTCTAGAGTGAAAAGAAGAGCAAAAGAGTGGGTGAGGGAGGGGACCTAGTGCTGGCCCATGTCTGAGGTGGTTACACCTCAAACCGCCCAATCAGACAATCTGGAAATAAACGGACATCGGTTAGCCGCCATTGCTTGCAACGTCTCCAGCCAAGCAAGGAGAAGATGTCATGGGGACCCCATCCTGGGAGACGTACAACACCCGAACTATTCGTGATCTCTTTCACGCCTTTCTACCAAGTCATGCGCTGTCCACCTCGCGGTTTGCGCCATCCTGAAGTAGTCACGGAGAACAAAATTCGTCTCGGTAGACGGCGTTTCGGCATGCGTAGCACATGACCGAGCCATCGTAGTCGATGACGCTGGATGTTTTCTCGTCAAAACAGTAGACAAGTACAACGATTTGTAGTGACTGTCTGTTGATTGGAGACATTAAAAAGAGGTTGAGCATACTTGATGATGTGGTGATAGAGTTTGCGGAGCTTGACATGCTGTAGGTCACTGCAACTGGATACCGAAAACAGCTTGTTACTAGGTGGGAAACCCCCCACCCCGGTTTCGATAGCCAGGGAAAAAATCTGTCACCTTGGATGTACCCGGAATCAGCTTGTCAACGTTCGTCAAATCAAATGACTAAACTGCTGATGACTGGCCTCTGGATGAGGAACGTTACGGACATCAATCAGCTTACCGACGAACAGCTTCCACTCTTCAATGACCTTGAACCATTTCTTGAATGTATTGCCTGATTTCGAGTACACCTTGGCGACAAAGGTCTATACATGATGGACGGAAAAGCCCATTGAGGTGGATTTGTAGTCTGCACAAACATCTCTCTCGTAAATCATTGTAAACGTCATGTAAAAAGTTTTGATAAAGTCGATTTCACATTCAACTGAGGATCATTTAGGACACGGCGACAAAATGCGAGATGCGAAAGAAAACCTTTTCACAGAACCGATACATGATGGGGGGCGTGAACAACGTTTCAGTGAGTGACATTAAAACTAACTCATTATACAATTATCCGCCTAATTGAACAATGATTAGTAAGCGTTGACCACACCCATTCCAGGAAAGGAAAACGCGCGAATGCTTACTACGTCTACACAACGAAAGTCCATAATCTGCAGGTGTATTGCAATCCTGATTTGAAAAACTGTCTGAATTCAGCACGCCCACTAAGAATAGAATGACAAATGATTTTCGGTAACATTCGATTAGGCACCTATCAGTAACCCAAGTCGCTGTGAGTAGCAGGTCAGGTGAACTCAGGTTTGTTTACGAAATTGGAACCAGCTCAACCCTCTAACTAATTTTCTGCTTGTTGTTCCGTGTGTGTTCGCGTGCGACACTCTGCACTCTTAAAATTTTCCAGTGGAGGAGGGGAGTTTATATCCGGGCATTGAGACGAGAAAACCCGAAATTGTCGAATTTTATCGTGAGCATGTTATCCGAACAGTTTTCTATCTATCCCTTTCAAAGGACAAATATGGGTCATTCTCGTGCAAGACAAGTTGGTCAAAAGATGAACAAGCTCTCCTGAAGCAGTACATAATGAATAACTAATGTGTCCGGGGACGTATTTGCCGTTCTTCGGTAACTACTGCAGTCTGTCCACATTGTGAATTGTTACACTCTTTATTGTCACTCTCAATCGGAATAATAGCATGTTAAACTTTCCCTCCCCATATTCCTCAGTGGTAAAATCCTGACTTTATTTATCAAAGAGTAACGAGCAGCTGTCTGCACTCAGTCAAGTTGAATCCTGCCGAGGTCCAAAACGGATTGTTCCCTTGACCACATCACCTTCGAGTTCCCGAGGAAGGTCTCGGGTGTGAGAAACATCATCTGTGCGGAGGTCCAACGGACATGTACTATTCTGTTTTCGAAACAGTCTCTACTAGAAGTTTCAACGGGTCAGGGACTTCCATATGGCATGTATGTTGACTACACTGATGTCAGCCTGTCAGAGGAAGGATATCCCAAACCAGCAGTTCTTCGATAAATCCAGCATAATCAAACTCGCCTCAACAGTTTGTGGTTAATACCACAGAGATGGCTATTCCTCGAGCTTTGGGTCTTCGGTTAGTTGAGTGAAGTAACGACAATATTCCTCGTTTCGTGGAGACGATCGATCAGGAGCATCCGCTGGATTGAATGTACAAGAAACCCAAATGTTTTCCTGGATGTAGCATTCCGCAATATGCTTTCGGTGAGCAACTACCAGCAGCTGGAGAATAATTGAAAGGCCCAGTATGAGTGCGTGTGGAATGAGCAAAGCGGGAGAACTTTAACAGCCATTCGCAGATCAAAAAAGATTAACGCAGCAGTTGACAATTTTCAGCCCTACGAACTTTTCGTGCTTGTTAGAAATATTCCAAATCTCCTCCTACTCACATAATATGGGTAACTCGAACAGAAAAAACGAATACGAGGGTTTCTTAGCTTACGGTATCACACATCCCGCAGGAATATCCCACCCAGAAGCAACCGGGTGTCGGAAAATTAGCGGTGAAAGATGGTGCACTATGGATTTGTGCACTATGGTGCACAAATTCTTGGTTTTGAGTTAAATAATGGGGAATGGAACGCCGTTTCTCAACATGTTTTAGCGCCACCGGTAGTTGAGGAATGTTGGTAGCTGCTCACTAAAAGCATATTGCGGAATGCTGCATCCAGGAAAGCATTTGGGTTTCTTATACTTCAATCCAGCGGATGTTCCTGATCGATCATCTCCATGAAATGAGAAAGTTATCGGTACTTAACTCAACTAATCAAAGACCCAAAGCTCGAGGAATAGCCACCTCTGTGGTATTAGCCACAAACTGTTGATGCGAGTTGGATTGTGCTGAGTCTATCGAAGAACTGCTGGTTTGCCTGACATGAGTGAAGTCAGCGTACATGCCATATGAAAGTCCCTGACCCGTTGAGATTTCTAGTAGGGACTTTTACAAAGGCGGAATAGTGTACGTCCGTTGAACTCCCGCGCAGATGCCGTTAGTTACCCCCGAGAACATCCTCGTGACCTCGAAGAGGATGCGGTCATGGGAACAATACGTTTTAGACCGTGGCAGGATTCAAATTGATTCAGTGTGAATAAAGTCGGGTAGTCAGGCACTTTAAAAATGTGATGAGACCAGAGACATTTGCAACATCAACCACTTGAATCTAGATGCATTTATAGAAAAAAATAACTTAGTCGTTATGTTGCATCTACGTGTGCCATCCAAAAAATATGATCACCAAATCCTCCACGTTTGCCTTTTTCGCTCAGTTGCGTGTTAACTCTGAATCATACACAGGAAAATAGGCTTGTTTATCGCCCGTGAATCGACGATACTGCCTAGGGGTTAGTATGCCGATTGTGGCGTGGCCCTAACACGGGCAAAGGCCGAGTTTGACGAAATTCGATCCTAATGTACCTGGTGCATCACGTGACATCACCGTAGGTCAACGTTGCATTATTTATCATTGGCAACGATGACAGCTGCTGTGGTATCCTTGTGTTTTGCTGTTACTTCGGGAATATCATTCACCGAAGTCCACAGATCTGTTCATCCAGAATACGGTTCAGAGTGGACACCGAGGTTATTGAACTGCCCGCGATGTTGTTTCATTTATTTCTATCAAGAAGCCTATTGATTCCTGTATTTAAAGAACCTGGAAACAAAATCGGCAATCAAAGTCTGTGGGTGAAATGCGTTCCGGTTTTGAGTTTTCTTGATTGAAGAGGAGCAGGGAGTACAGTAGCTTAAGTAGACCAGCTTGTGTGATGAGCATGCTGTAAATAGGACCTAGACTTGGAGTGATGAGATCTGCGGCAAAACTTACAGATGTTGTTGGCATCCTCTGTGGGTGAAATGCGTTCCGGTTTTGAGTTTTCTTGATTGAAGAGGAGCAGGGAGTACAGTAGCTTAAGTAGACCAGCTTGTGTGATGAGCATGCTGTAAATAGGACCTAGACTTGGAGTGATGAGATCTGCGGCAAAACTTACAGATGTTTGTTGGCATCCATCAGTAGACATAGGCACAACTGCATTACATGGAGCGTTAACGCCAAATTAAGAGTTTTGATGGAGACATCATCCTTCGGTTATTTTGGATTCCCTTTTGATGCCAGATTCGCCACATGAAGGCGTGTAGTTAACTCCTATCAGACAGAGGCTGAAATCCCCGGGCGGCACATATTACCACCGGGATCTTCGTTCGGACAAACGAACATTGTTCGCCAAGTTCTTGTGCTGTCTCAACAAGCCATAAACTATCTGAAAGTCCCTAAGTCTCATATCCGGGAGCGGGAAAGATCGGTAGCTATCGGAATACCCGAGAGAAGAAGCACCGTATTGCGTAATTTAATCAGGCACATCATTATTTTCAGGAGATTTGACCCTTCTAAGAACTCGTCGCCAGAAGCTCCCGACCTCTCCGCTACTGGTATTGTCGGTTCAGTTGAACCCCAAACCTCTGTCCGTCAGTGAAGCATTATCAATGAAATTTCGACACACCGTACTATCGCATAAAACTACTTTGATTAGTGAAGCCATTCCCCCTACCCTAATCATGTGAAAGACTCTTATATCAACCCATTTTAGCTTCACGCTACTGAGAAATTTTAAAGTAAACAGAAGTAGGTCTTCTCCTTGTACTAATGTCAAAACGTCTGTGAAAGACAGTGCTGGAACTCTATTCATCTTGAACGCAAATCACTCCACGCAAGCAGTGCTTAGAGCGCGAATTTACAGACTGGAATGTCTGCGGTCCGAATCATATGTCTACCTCTCGACTTCCTCTATCTAGGCTTAAGCAACTTGGCGGTCTCTAAGTCCTTGTGCTTCCCCCGGGTGGCGTGGCAGGCAGGCACCGAATGTCTGCTACAGTTCAACGATATGCGCCTCTGCAAACCCCGCCTATAGTGAACAGAATTTCCAGTCCACAGCAAGTGGCTATTTCACATCAAAATGGTGATTGAATTCGAATCCAAATCAGTTCTGCTTGAGCAGTTTTACATGTATGGTGAGGCAGTTTTTCTAAACCAGTCATACAAACCGGAGTTGTCGCTCAAGTGAGCACATTTTTGTTTGTTTTAACCTTGATAATCCAGCATTATTAGTTGTGTGATAGCGTGGTAATACTACAATGGTATGCCAGCTGTGCGGCGTTCAAATCTCACTAGACTAGTGACGAATTCCAAATGAAGTCAGTATGAGTTCTACTGCTTTACATCAGAAGTGTTCCAACCGGATTGGTCGCACCTGAAAAAAAAGATTTGCAATATCGTACAGCAAGCAAACCAGACGAAACCCATAGTCTTCTTCTCTTCAGGTGGACACCTTCGTGTTCAGTAATCGTAAACACAAAAGCCTCAATATGTTCCACTAACGTTGCAATCGATATGTTATAGTCTGTTGAAAGTCACGTGGTTTCTCTCAAAAGACTATTGGTGTTGGTAGACCCAACATTTGTTATCTGCAATCGGGTATCTGGTGCGTGAAGCGCTCGGTGATATATCGTGCATGTCTGGTGACTTGCCTAGTTGGGAGGTGCGGTCGAAAACTGTTCAGACTGAAAGTTTTACAGATGTGCATTGTCAAAATTCTTTGTAATAATTTCTCTATGATCTTAAAATTATCCACGGTTGCGAGGAACATACACCTGGCCCCAACCAGAGTCTGGTAGTTTACCATCCATGAACCCCCGAACAACGAATTTTCTGAGAAAGTGACCCCTGAATAACAAAATCGCTTTACTTTTTGACATTTGGCCAACTGTCAAGATGTTTATGTGTAATCCGGATAAAATATTGCATGCCTCCAGAACACAGTTACGCAGAAAGCTCAACCAGAAAGAAGCACGTAACGACATTTGATGATTTTTTTGTCATGCGCACGTGACAGTTAAATGCAGGGTAATTTGGGCTAGCATGAGGATAAACCCAGTTCGATACCTCAGTAGTGCCGCCCACTCAATGATTATACTAAGTTTGTATCACTCGTAATCGATCAGTATTACTAGATCTACTGTTGATCCATGCAGGTGAACGAGTTTTTCTCATGAACCGACTACCTGAACTATAGTCATCCTCATCATCCTTTGATCAGCGCAACTGTCCCTCTTCCAAAAGTCCACAAAGTCAATGAATCGATTTTATGATCGTCGGACACTGGATAACTTGAGTTAGGCACGATGTCTGAAACCTATTCAACGTTTTTAGGCGGCTTTTCAATTCTAAAAGTAGTTCCATTGCCGTGAGGAAACGTTCAGAGAATAATGGCGATCAAGAAGGCAACAAAAGAATGAAAATGTCAGTGCGTTGATTCCATCTTCTTTCTTTCACCTTCTTTTCTAGTTAAAAAATCACAGTGTTACCAGAACGGAACTGTTAATTGTCTAAAATTTCGTCTTAACTACGGACTGATCGTTTCTGATCAATTCTCACATTCTGCTTATATTTGTCGTCACCACACGTTCAGCCACCAGATTGCATCGTGCTGAGTCCCTATTGATTTATCCTCGGCCCGCTCTCACGTGTGCCTCCTATTGGTCGTTGCATTTCGTTATTTTTCTGCTCCATCGTGCATAACTGTTGGTTCCTATTGGTTATTCGGTTGAAGAGAAAGTCTCAGCCAATTCATGCCATTTTTTCCGATGTATATAAACCGCCTTACTTCGCGGCAAAAAAGACCTGTTCCTGTGCACAAATTCGGCTTCTTCCATACGGGAGTTGACGGGTTACCTCCGGACGACAAAACAACCTGGCGACGGGGATGGGATCAAACACACAAGAACTGCCCCATACCACCCTCAGTCAAATGGACAGGCAGAACGATTCGTGGATACGATGACGGGAGAGGGGACTCTCGAAGAGCGATTGGAAAACATTAAACTGATGGCGTGTATAAATGTCACAAAGCAGATCAAACTGTGCCAGATGGTCACTGGGGCGTGCTGCTTGCTCTTGAGGGTTATGCACGCATTGTGCTGAAACGAAGTACGTGAGCCAGAGAAGAGAATCTTTGAAGCGCTTTATGGAAAATGGAAACGAATATTATCAAATAGGTGATTAGTTCAGTGTAAAAAACGAAACATATCACTCATAGAGTGCCACGCTCGAAGAGAGCTTTAATTTGGCGATATATTACGGACGGATTTCTCACTAAGGATCGTCCACTCAAAAAGGTCATTTATACTTAAGGAGAAGGAGCGTTACTTACGCAGGAAAGCGTAACAAACTCTATTTTCCCGTGATGTCACTTGAAGGTATTATTCTTGAGGCATTAACTACAATAATCCAAACTTTTCCCTCTACGAAATCACCACCCAGACTGGTTAAATTGAGAGAGGCATTAAATTATGACAAGCGGTAAATGGTGAGGGGATTCCTATCCTAGAAAGGTTAAGCTGGAGAGCGGCTCTGAGACATTGCAATGTCTACTTCTTAAATGTCTGAACAACGTTCTGGATATCCAAAGTAACCAAAACGTCGGGTTATAACATCTTATTCCGTCATGCTGTGCTTTATGTTTGAACACTCCTCAGTATACACCACAAAGCGCCCAATTTCCCAAAGGTTCGATAGTTAATCAAATCGAATGTGGGTAACGATCATACTTGAGTCATGTTCACCTGAATTCCTGGCTTTCGCACTTATAGTGACGATTGCCAGTAGCTTAGACGCTTCCTTACAATGTCGTGATTAGTATTCGATTAGCGTGTATCGATCGGAGTTGTAAAACAAGTACGATTATATCAACTTGCTGGTCATATGCGTTATAATACCATTATAGTACAGGCAAACGCTGTTTGTACGCTTAGTTGATTTATCCACACTTGTGAAGCAGAACGAAATAAGAGTGCGTCACACACCGTGAACTGTTTACGCTGTCATATCAGTCTTTCGGTATAAAGGGGGAAACATCTAGATATTCTCGATTAGAGGGGTGATAGGTCGAAGAACGTCGCTTGGGCTCCATATCAGTTTCCTGGAAATGTATGACCAGACCAATCAGCTGTGCTCGTGTTACGAAATTGGAGGGGTTTCGAACGCCCAAAAGGTGGAAAAGAAAGGAAAAAGAAGAATTGATAAGCAGGTGAACCTAGAGCTAGCCTGTCACAAACACCCGGAGTGTTTTGACTTCCAACAGGTGCAGACAGCCTGGGTGGAAACTGACTGCATAAACGCCATTGACATCGGTTGATGGCTACATTGTTTCGTGTATCCAGCCAAGCACGTAGAGGGTCACATGGGCTCAAGCCTTGAAAGTGAACAGCACCAAAAGCGTTCATACTTTTCGTGAAATATTTTATTCCCTTCTGCCATGTCAAATTCTGTCTTTGGTTGTTGGTCTGTTTGCCGAGCTTGGCAGTTGGATTGCAATCGAGGTGACATCGTCAGTGCAGGGTTGAGTGGGTGAATTCTTCCTCTTTTGTCTGTGGTTATATAGCTTCTAAACAGCATCTGGTAGTTCTGGAAACGGTCTTTACACAGTTTGATTGGTATCTGTGTGTGGGATGGGACTCTGAGCCGAGAAACCTAACGAGAACCAACGGACTAACTGGATCAAAGGAAGACAATCACTAAAGACAGAAGAACACTGAATCAAACAATCAAGAAAACAAACTCACACCACAAAGCAAGAAGAAAACGGCCGAATCACAGCAGAACAACCACACACAGAACTGCCAAATTGAATGCGCCCAACGAACCAGCTAGACACCGGAGATTGAGATCACGTCAGATTCACGGAAGACAAATCAAACTATGTGAAGACCGTTTTCAGAACTACCAGCTACTGTTTAGGAGCTATATAATCACAGGCAGAAGAGAAGGAATTCATCCACTCGACCCTGCACTGACGATGTCATCTCGATTGGTGATGAAACGTTTGCAATCCAACTGCCAAGCTCGGCGAACAGACCAACAACCAAGCAGCACATACGAACTACCTACATTCTACAACATTGCTAAATTTTGTCTTTATCCAGGTTTTCCGACACTCCGAATCAGGCAACGAAAACAAAGCTCGTT